CCTTCCCAACTCCTCCCTCCACAGACTGCAGATAATCCAGAACTCTGCAGCCCGTGTCCTCTCCCGCACCAAACTCCGTGACCCCCATCACCCCCATTCTCGCCCGACTCCATTGGTTCCCTATCCTTCAGAAGATCCAGTTCAAGGTCCTGGTCCCCACCTACAAAGCCCTCCATGGCCTCGCCCCACCCTACCTCTGTGACCTCCTAACCCCCTACCAACCCGCCCGCTTTCTCCGCTCAGCCGGCTCTGGCTGCTCCACGTCTCCTGACCCACCCGCTCCACCATTGGTGGGAGAGCCTTCAGCCACTCTGCCCCCAACCTCTGGAATTCCACCCCCCAATCACTCCGTCTCACCCCCTCCTTAGCCTCCTTCAAGTCCTGCCTCAAAACCCTCCTCTTCGACTATGCCATTGGCCACCCCCTTCCCCACCCTTCTCCCCCCCCCCCCCGACCCCAGCTCGGGTCTGAAATGCTGTACACTGTCCAGTGCCTTGGGACGTCCTCCTGACGTGAAAGGTGCTATACAGATGTAATCTTGTTGTTGTTTGTGGATTCTTGCTGTGCATAATTTAGCCACTATTAAACAATCCTTGCATTCGATAAGAGTGCCTTTCAAGTTTCAAAGTGACTCCCATGATTTACTGTGAAGTGTAGTGACTATTCGTGGTAGGCAAATGTGGCAGCCAATTCGTGCATAGTAGTGTTCCACAAATATCTATGGAGTGAATGACCAATTTTATCTGGGACATTGTTCGCCAGGGCAGCAAAAACTCCCTTCACATTTTGAATAGTGTCATAGAATCATTAAAGTTCCCTTGAGCATCAGATGGGAACTTCGTTCCATGTCTCACCTGAAGGACTGCACCGTCAACATTACAGGGCTCTTCCAATTCAATTCTGGGGTATCAGCCTAGGATGTGAGTTCAGAGTCCTGATGTTGGGCCTGAATCCACAACCTTCTGATTTGCGGCAAAATTGTGCCTAACTAAGCCAGACTGACAGCTGCACTCAACAGTAAATCATGTGAAGCGCTTTTAAGACATTTTAAAATGTGGCAAGGCACTATATCAATTTTGTGAATATTATTTGTACTGTCAGCAGCAAGCGTCTAATATCAGTGTAGCAGGGCAACTGTCAATGTGTTGTAGCTGTATTTTGTTCAGTTGAGCCTGAAATGGTCTTACATCTTAAGATGGTCTGTGATATCAGAGGCAGAAAAAACATGGGTGAAGTACTTCTTTCCACCTGCACACAGACAGGGAAATGGTTTTACCAAGGCTGCCTCTATCTGGACCTTCTCCAGTCATTAAGTAAAGTGATGGAGAAGATTAGGAATCCACAACTTTAAGGACTCTTTTAAAGTCAGTCGGGTTGCTATGAAAACCACCCTGCAATACAAAGTGGTAATTTCTTCAGCAGTGAGGCTGGGAACTTGTATTGGAAGTGCTTCAAGTGGTGGTCCTCCAGTATAAATGCAGGTTGAGGCCGAGACCAGGTGAGCCATTAGTTGGACACCAGTGAATGCATTCATATATATTCTGTAACAACCAGATAGTTAGGTTAATAAATCTTAGTGAAATTAATAGTTTCAGAGGTATTGAAATGCATTTTTAATTAGAACACTACCTCAGAAATAAAATAAGTAGCTTTAGGCTGAGAGGAAATGCTTTTAAAAATGTTTACGGTGACGTGATTAATATTGACATACTTCATCTTTGTCCATTCAAGTCTGCACGAAAAGCTGAGCTTGCTTTTCCCAGTAGCCTCCTGTACATTCCTGTGCCTCAGGATACGTTTGGTGGACTAGTGAAGTGTAGAGGATTGAACATAATGAATGCCATCTGCCGTAGACTAGAAATTATACAAACTGCTGTTTTGTTCCCCCGATTCGGTCACTGGGTTGACTGCTGGTCTTTGCTCAGACACGAAGGAAATCCTTCTATTCAGATTTTGCAGACTTAATTGGAATGCAGCGGCCTAAATGGCTGCGTTTTTATTTGCAGTAGTTAAACCTGCCCTTTCAGCGTGTTACAGGGCACTCCCATCATAGTGCCCTTTGATCTCACAGAGGGCTGTGGAAACCGGAAGTGCGGTACTCCCAGCTTCTGTTGCTGACTAGAAGACTTTACATTAATAGCTGAGTTCTCAGGTTGCCAACGACATCACTCCCTGCGTACTGCACACATAGACGTTAGACATAGACACCAGAATGTTACCAGGCCAAAAAGGGTTAAGTTACAAGGGAAGGCTGCGTAAACTTGGATTGTATTCCCTCGAGTTTAGAAGATTGAGGGGTGATTTGATAGAGGTTTTTAGGATGATAAAGGGATTTAATAGGGTAGATGCAGAAAAGCTATTTCCTATGTTGGGAGAATGGAAAACAAGGGGGCATAGTCTTAAAATTAGAACCAGGCCATTTAAGAGTGAAATTGGGAAGCATTTTTTCACTCAATAGGTGGTAGAAATCTGAAACTCTCTCACCCAAAAGGTCGTGGATGCTGGATCTAAACACACCTTCAAGAAAGAGATTGACAAATTTTTGGTAGGTCGGGGTATTAAGGGATACGGGAGAAAGCAGGAAATTGGATTTGAAATTCTAGTGAAGATATTGATCAGCCATGATATAATTAAATGGCGGAACAGGCTCGACGGGCTCGATGGGCTACTCCTGTTCCTATGTTCCTAAGTGATATCTGCAGTGACCCGATGACCTGGAAGTTGGCCATTCGTCTGCACCTCGCTTATAACTAGGTTTGATTGTATTTCCTGGGCTAAAGCAGTTGCAGATTATATTGCAGAATGGTTCAAAATGTGAGTTCAGAGGTTTGCAGCATAGATATGTGCTTGATTTTTCAACTTGGTGTTGATTGTATTTACCCAGGTGAAGGTGAATGAACATTGGATCAATACATTGATTTAGACTTCTAACTCTTCTCTCCATAGGGTGCAGATTATTCAGGACTCTGCAGCTCGTGTCCTCTCCCGTACCAAGTTCCATGAGCCGGTCGGTCACCCCCGAGCCTTGCCCAGTTTCACTGGCTTCCCATCCCGCAGAGGATCGAGTTTAAGATCCTCTTCCTCACTTTCAAAGCTCTTCCCTACCTCTGTGACTTAGTAACCCCTTATCAACCTTCCCGCACCCTCTGCTGTGGGGGCCACTGGCCTGCTTAACGTACCCCGCCTTGCCCGCCAGTCAGGCCTTCAGCTTTCTGCTCCCACCTTCTGCAACTCAATCCTGGATGCCTTTGCCGCACACCCTCCCATGTCTCCTTCAAAGCCCATCTTAAGACCTTCCTCTTTGACCATGCCTTCGATTATCCTCTCACCCCTATCCTCCTTGGCCCTCATCCCTCTTGATTCCAACCCCCAGCTCAGGTGCAAACCTTTGACTGTCCAGCGTCTTGGGGCATCATCCTAACGTGAAAGACGTTATATAAATGCAATTTGTTGATGTTGTAAACAAATGTACCGCATTAGTTCCGAATTTCCATTCTCAGTCTATTGCGATCAGTGTCATCATTTGATGCAAAATTTTAGCTTTTTTAACCTAACTATTAATTTTGCTGAACTATATGGCAGGCCGCCAAGATGTGTAGTATTTTCTGATGCAATACTTTTGCTCTAGGACTTACAGTAAACAGAGTCAAAACATCAATAGAGTAAAAATTAGATTCAGATTCATTTTTGGAACATTACAATGTATTTTCGTCGTTTCTTTCCCTAACTATTTCCAGACCAAATTAGATAAAATGTTGCTCTTAAAGCTGAAGTGTGGAGGAGTTGATTTGTGCAAATACATTGTATGTAATAGAACAATCCTGAGTGAAGCAGTGACATTTGAATGAATTTTATTTTTGCATTTCCAATTAATTTGTGGTTATATTGTTTAAAATTATATTTATGTTCAGAAATCCATAATGTTTTCAATTAAAGAATTGTTTTATTTCTAGATATTTAATTTGTGCTATATAGAGTCCTTTTTAACATAAAAGCTACTAATTAACTTTGTCAGAATATCTCAGGTTTAGTGTGAAACATTGAGAAATTGTTCAAGAACTGAGGTTGACTGTGCTGCTTAAATAAACTTGAGTATGGTTACAAAAACTTGCATTTGAACAGCACCCACTATGTAGGATAACATCTTGGAGCTCTTTACGGTGCCTTGGACGTCCTTCTGAATTGAAAGGCACAATGTAAATTTGTATCGCGTTGAGTCGGACTAGTTACCTAATTATAGTTGCTTGAAATTATTTTCCTTTACCAATGTCTAGACAAAATAATACCTGGGGAATTGTTTTGTAAACTTTAAGTACTTCTCCAATTTTAATGTCGGCTGTTATAAAACTAAGATCTTTGACAATTTATGCCTTAATGCATTTGATATAGAGTAAAACTTGCATAAGTTGTATCACACCAGGTCATAACATTTAACATGACTTGCACAAAGTCTGAGTTAACATGCAAAACTTGTATAAATCGTATAAAATCCGATTTCATCCATCTATGCTCTGCCTTAACTAACATATGTTAATTCGTTGCTGCAGCCTATAAGTGCACATGTAGTGATGAGTCAAGACTACGTTTCCCATGATTCAATACAAGTTGACTTGTTACTTCATGCACAGTTACTGGCAAGAATTGAAATCGTGGAAAAGTAGGTTTTTCCATGCATGCCGAGTCAGATTAAGACTATTTCCCGCGATGCAATGCAGCCATAAAGTGTGGAAGTAATGGATAGGAGAGAGCGTTATGAGTTCAGAAGTGATAAATATGAGTATTGAAATGTAAGTGAATGGAACGCAAATGGACATACGATTTAGGCGATGAAACGATGTATAATGATAAGATTTATGCGAGTTTTATGGTACATGGATAATTATTTAGTTTAGTTATGATATGGTAGTGGGGGGTGGGGAGGGGGGAAGAATTCCTTGCTAACATTGAGTTTGTGTTTTGAGTTGTTTGCCGTTTAGTTTAGCTCCTTTCTTTTTTGTCAGGTTATCCTGCAGGTTACCCCACAACTGCTCCTGCCTATTCTGCTAACATGTATGCCAGTAGCAGCCCTGGCTACCCCCCAGGTAAGTTCAATCTTACTTCAATACTTCCTTGAATTACTGTGTACCACCCTGGCTTGGTGTGATGGTTCTCCTTAGATCCGGTTTAACCCCGGGAGATCCTGTTTTACCCCCAAGGAGAGTTTGGTGTTATTTAAGCAGCGATTCGCTGCTACAGAATGTAGTTGGATGCTGTCAAAGTGGTATGGTCTTACAGTAGAACCTAGTTAAAATATTGTTTGCAAAGATTCATGGGGCCATGTTACACAAGTAGAAAAGTAACCCTAAATTATCTGGGCCACAGAACCCACCAGTTGCTATTTTCCTGCGTTTGGTTAGCTGTCAATCAGTTCCTGGGCTGGTACAAGCCACTTCTCCCCAAATGCAAATAAATGTTTCCATTCCATAAACAGTCACCGAGGGCGCAAGGATTCATGTCGTAGGGAAGGAAGGAACAGTAAGGATTCTAGTACAGATAGAAAGTATTTTTTNCCCAATAGATGAGTGAGTGGATTAAAGTCCATAATCAGAATAGCTGTATACTATGGAAGATGTTGGCTAAATAGACCAGTTGTTTAAACCACTGGTGTGGATTTTATTTAGAATTTGTCAATATCCTTAGTTTCCTTAGTTTTTGAGGATTTTAGCACTTTATATTTTCCTCCAAGTATAACTTGTGCACTTGAAATTCAGCATCTTCCCAATGTACTTTTCAGCCCAGGGGTCCTTTACAACGTCAACAATAATAATAATAATAATCCTTGCATTTGATATAGCGCTTTTCACGTCGGGAGGACGTCCCAAAGGGCTTCACAGAACACACTGTAAAGTGAATTGACTGTATATTTGTGGGTGAACGCGGCAGCCAATTGCGCACAGCAATGTCCCACAAACAGTCGTAGATTGAAAATGACCAATTTATTATTGTTTTTGGTTTTGGAGGGATTATTATTAGGCTCTGTGTGGAGTAAGGAAACTTGCCCAAGGTTTCGCCCTCTGCCTGGAATTGAACTCAGGTCTCTCGCTTACAAAGCGAGTGCTCTGACCACTGAGCTACAGGACTCCACATTCATGTGGGGCTAAGATGGGAAAATGACAGCATTAAATTGATTAAAAACTAAAACAGTTTTAATGCTTAAAAATGGTGACAATATTGTTAAAAAGGTCCCCTCGATGTCTAAAGTCTTATATAAATGTTAATTTGTATTGTAAAAACCATGTTAAATTTTGGTTTGTTAAATCACCACAGATAAGTACTTATTTCAGCCTAGATTCTGTTATTTAAAGTACTCCGGGGGTGGTAATGGCTTTAAAAAAAATAATAATCTTGTCACTCGATCCCTGAATGTTTGTGGACCACTGCTGTGTGCAATTGGCTGCTGCATTTTGCCTACAAAATATACAGTCAATTCACTTTACAGTATATTCTGCGAAGCGCTTTTAGTCTTTGACCGTGCCTTCAGCTCCCCTCTCGACTCTCTTCCCCCTCCTCGCTCCCTCCCTTCCCTCCCCTCACCCTGACCATTTCCCCCTTGCTCGGGTCATGACCCAACTGTGCAGCGCCTTGGGACGTCCTCCTGACGTGAAAGGCGCTCTATAAATGGAATCTTGTTGTTGTTGTTGTAGTCTTCTCAATGACTTGATAAGGCACTACTATATCAAAAGCAAGTATTATTATTTATTCAGTTATAAAATAAAATGGTGCTTGCAATTGGTGGATCTAACACTAAAAGATTTTGAATGACCTCGCTCTGTTTCATTGCCTCCAATTGCAATTTGGAAACGCTTTTTGAAATTCCTTAAATTAACATGCTCACGTGAGCAGGTGCCTCTCTCTTTTTCTCTTTCTCGCCCCTCCCCTCGGCATCTTCCTTTACTACAAAACCTTTATAACCTGACACTTATATAACTGTATAATCCATTAACACTTTCTTTAGTATTTCATTAGTGGTGGAAACAATAGGCAATTGAAACAATGTTAGTTAACAAGCATAGATTTTAGATTCAGGACCTAAAAGTACTTTCATCTTCCATGGTACCAAACAACAACTTTGAGCTGCTGCTTCTAGTGCGGACTTGAGGATATTTCACCTTGTGTTTAGTGATCATGAAAGCATGTTGTTCCCATAAGGTTTTGCTTCTATCTACTCAGCTAATAAAGCTTTATATATAATAATCATCCCTGTATTTGATATAATGCCTTATGTCATCAGTGTTTCAAAGCACTTCACAGATATAGTATAAAGTGCAGTGACTGTGTTTTTGTGGGCAAAGCTTTATTTCTGAATGTATGTTTCACTATTACTGTAGATGACTGTAAACAAAATGTGATTCCGTGCTCCCCAATATGGGCTAGAAATGTGGGAGCTTGGTTCTTTTACCATTTTTTTTTTAAAAAAATGCTATTGGTTACCGTCAGTCACTGATTAATTGAATGTTTGGAAATCTGGAGCACTTTCAATGCAAAGCTTTGCATCTTATAATTGTCTAAAAGAAAATGCATGACTTGGAATGTTTTAATGTTGGAATCTCAGCTACATTATCAAAAAATCAGCTGATTCCGGGATGCCATCTCGCCGTGAATCAATGCATTGTTCAATGAATAATATGGCTCAACGTGCTGTTTGTGTTTTTGTGACGCCTTGTTCTGTCTCTGCAAGCTTTATTCATGATGAGGCAAAGCTGGCCACAAACGTCAACCTCCGGGGCCTCTGAGGGTACCTATGACCTCCCAGTCGATGCTGGTACCGAGAGCAGGACTTTTCAAGCTTCTTCTGCATCATTCAGTAAATAGAATATACTTTTACTTTCATATTTAGAACTTTAAGAATATTTGTATTCTTCGGTCTTGTTCTCGTATTCAAATGATTTTGGGAAATGCGGCATTTCCTCCCAATGTGCAGAAGAGTTTGAGTCATAATGGGTTTAAATTGTTCCTTGGATTAGACTGAAGCATTTAAAGATCTTTTAATTTGGCTGGAGAGAGAAAAAAAAAGTTTGGGTCAGTGAGCAGATGAAGGCAGCATACAGTATTTCTCATCTCAGGTTGTTACAACTTTTGAATTAAAAAAACATTAAAATGTGAAGCTTTGAGACAGATTGCAATGAAGCCAGGCAAGGACAGAATAGTGAATGTGGAGCTGAAAAGCAAGATGGTGGAGAATCATAGAATGGTTGCCTTCCTCTGTGCCATACATTTCTATGGTTAGTTGGCATTAATCGCTGCTCATCATTATACAGCCAGGAAGATCTTAATTTTTTTTAACAAATTACTAGTCACATCAAAATATAAAAGTTATATTTAAATTGACTGTTTTTTGGAAGTTTATTTAACTCTAGTGATCAAATTGACCTATACAGTCGTATTTCTTCCTGCTTCCTTAAATCTGGATGCATTTTTAGTGTCCACGAACCCAAAGCACCAGTAAGTACTAAGAGGTCAGAGAATTGTAACGTACACCTAATTTTTTTTGTGTGATTTTTGTCTTCAAAAGCTGCCTAAATATCTTCCTGTTTCACCATGTCTATGTTCCCTTCCCACAAACAGCCATGCAGTGACAGACCATGGTCTTCTGTAGGATTGTTGTTCAGGACCCCAGGACAAATCCCTTTTTTCAAATGGTATCACGGGTACTTTGTCCACCTGATTAGCGAGATGGGACCTTGCAATGTCTGATCTGAAGGAGAGCACCTCTGACAATGCAGCATTTCTCAATCACTGCATTGGAGTGTCATCCTACTTAGTCTGTCCTCAAAGTCCTGATATGAGGCTTGAACAGACAACTTTCTGACCCACAGGGGAGTTTTACCACCTGAGCCAGTTTGGCAACTTTGGTGACATTGATTTGGCACGAGGTAATACACACTTTCTTCCCAGATAGGAAAATATAAATATTAATTGAAACGTAAAATTAATTTTCAAGTGTGCAAATGTATCTTACATATCTGTCTGCTAAATGCAGCACCAGAAATTGAATACAAGGCCTTAATCGGATTCTTTAATAATAAAAACTAATTTGTGAGGAATGTTCGAACTTGCGTAATCTGGTTTAATCTAATTTGAGGTCTTCATTTACTAATGCTACATAATATCTTAAAGAGGAACTGTTTTGAATCTAATGGTAGGTTTAGCCAGCATGTTGGCCTGTCATGGCAGCCCATCCACAAGCAAAAAGACTCAACATAGTTGAAAACGCCTGTGGCTATACCAATTTTCCCATTGGATGCCTCGTCTGCTTTTTCTGGTGTCAACGAGGGACGCACAATATCCTGGTGTATTGCTCCAAGATTGTCCCACACGTGCACGGAAACTTGGAGGAGCCGTTACCCGACCTCATTGAAATAGCAGAAGATGAAAAAAAATAGTGAAGATCCCTCCACTTGAATGGTAGCCTATGAGCAATGAAAAGCATACCTAATACTGCTATAACATGTCCCGATACTGGTCATCCATCTTGAAAGGCAGTTCAGTTGTGGTCAAAATGCAACTTTGCGGATGCCTTCCATTTTAGGTTCCCACTCAAAAGATGTTTGGATTATCAGTCAACAACAGCAACTTGCGTTTATACAGTTCCTTCACTCAGGATAGCGTCTAGGCGCACTGAACATTCATTCCCTGTTTTGGATGCCAATCAGTGCTTAAAGGAACCTAATTGCAGGCCCCGGTACTGAATGTGAGCAACAGAATTAGGAAGAGTGACCAAATACCCCTGCTTATTGGCAACCACCCAAGATGAACCCACTGGATAAGCAATCAGCCAGTTTTCTGGCAGTAAACTTGAATTTGGCAGATTGTCACAAAGCTACATTTTGATGCAACTGAAATTCCTTTGAGAGGGAAACACACTTAACTGGCTCAGTCTTTTGCAGTAGGTGGGTGAGGATGAAAAGAGAAAATAGTGTTGTTGATCAAAGTATTATCACAAGTTCATTTGTACACTTCTCCCATTTTTAGAAAAAATTGGTCTTCATATTAGAGGTTTGCCTTGGGAAGTTCTCCCTACATGAAAGGCGTTATACAAATTTAATTTGTTGTTGTTGGAATGGGCAGATAACCACCTCCTCGATCTTTGCATATATTCTGTAATAAGATACTATTGGTGCAATTTTCCTCCTGTATTTGAGTAGGAGGGTGGCTCTTGTGATGGCCTAGAGGGTATTTTTTTAAAAAAGAAATGCTTTATCGGGTATTTTCTATGGATCAGCTTTCTGTGAGGTGCAGGCTAATTTTGTGTAGAAATGTGCTTTGAACAAGTGTTTAGCAAAACTTGGAATCATGCAACACATTTTTTTTACATTGGGAAATATCAAGCGATTCCATTGCAGCTTTTGTAATGTAGATGGTGAGTCTTGACATAATATGAAAAATTTCAGGTGTTACAAAGAATACAAACAAACTGGTCAAAACATGTAGAATTGAAACCAAACTCAGAAATCAACACTAGAGCATTTCATAAAAAATACATTTTAATTGTTAACATGAGCCGTCCAAATGTGCTTGTTTGGGCTAGAGATTGCACACTGCCTCACTAGGTTTTAGCTGTTAGGGTAGTCTGGTCATTAAAGAATTGCCCCCCCCCCCCAAATAAAACCCTTTGCAAATGACTTTACCTTTGAGTACATCCAAACGATGCAGATTTGAAAAAAAAGTGTTTCAGATTGTAATCTCCCAGAAGACACTTATCTTCTCCTTGCAAGGCTGGAAGAGGAAACCCAACAATGCACACTGATTACCTTATTTTACCACAGTTTTTACACTGGTATTTGAATGAATGTAACACAAATACCCTTGAGATGCACAAATAACTGGTGATGTATAATGAGCTGTCCTGTTTTGTTTGCATAATTTAAAAAAAAATTACAGTAACAATTAAAATGTTCCAATACATATTGTACATAGTTAAACACCTGTTTTGAATATAGATCACAACAGCAAGAGGAAAAACTCCAGTGCTGTATGTAATGTAAAACTGTTAAATGTAAGGACCATCCTTCATACTTAATTTCAACCAAAGAATATCTACAGAAAACAGGGAAATTTGGTGGCTGGTATACCATATTTTGGGAAATGTAAAATACTGCAGATGCCGGAAATCTGAAACAAAAGCAGAAGTTGCTGGGAACACTCAGCAGAGAAAGGATAGTACGTCAACGTTTCGGGTCCATGACCCTTTGTCAGAACCCGAAGCGTTGACTCACTTTCCTTTCTCCGTAGATGCTGCCTGACCTGCTGAGTGTTCCCAGGGACTTCTATTTTTGTACCATATTTTGGGTGCTGTTTGCACATCTGATATTTTTAATATCAGTCTCCTTGTTGCACCAGAGCTTGTCGTTGGAAATTTTTATTAAATTTGTAGTTAAAAATCAAACTCCAGTGTTCATGTAGAATGCTGGAATTCTTTACTAAAAAAAAATCAGCCAATACCCAATAGCTGACCATTCTTACTGGCCAACTACTTGGTGCATTTAGTACGGTAGCAGTCAATATTTTACAGCAGGCAGTATCCTTTAATGTTATAATGGGTAAAATATTACTGCATGTCTAGACTGCATCGACCATTGCCATTCTGAATTTTCTGATTATTTCAAGTCTAGTAAATTATGACTGTTTTATTGCAATTTTTTGTAGCTTGAATGTTTTGTGTTGTAGGGTACACTGGAGGAACCCCTTACAAGGTAGCACCTACCCAGAGTAATGGTGCACCTCCCCCATATTCTCCATCTCCAAACCCTTACCAGACTGCCATGTATCCCATCAGAAGTGCCTATCCACAGCAAAATCTGTATGCTCAGGTAAATGTAATTCTCAGTAAATCTGTCCAAATCCAAAAGTGTCATTCTTGTATTTCAGTATGTGAGTACTGTATTTGGAATAAAGGATGTATGGTGGAAATTAAGGTGATAATAATAATTCTTTGTTATCGCGGCTAATCATGATGTTGAAACATCTCCAAGCACTTCACAGAATATATTGCAATTTTGTGGGCACAAGATATTAATGAACAGAGTGTAGTCTATGCTACTATTTTTGGCATCAAATGCTACTATATACGCCTGTATATAGTTCTGATTGCTTGAAGAGTAAGTCACTGAATTAGAAGTAGCAAATTGAAGCCCTCACCCTCTAGGCTATATTTAGGGTAAATTTAAATTGTATTGTATAGTCTATTTGTTATTGTTCCTGCCAAAGTGAATCACTCCACATTTCTCTATTTTGAGTTGTTCTGCCCCACCCCTAACTCACCCAAATGCTGCCCAAACGTCATTGGTGCCTTTGTTGCCTCCCAACTTGACTTCTCAAGTGAATTCCTTACCAGCTGTAAATTGGGATTATTCCTTGGAAGAGCAAACATTGACGTGAAAAAATTGGCCAAATGCTCCAACACCATGTTCTACATTGTTTTGCTTCTATGGGTCGTTGCATTTCTATCTAATCTGTGGATTTTTTTTAAAAAAAGCAGGGGGCTTATTACACACAGCCTGTGTATGCAGCACAGCCTCATGTAATTCATCATACCACGGTGGTGCAGCCCAATAGCATTCAACCTGCTATTTACCCAACTCCTGTCCCTGCTCCGAGGACCAATGGGATGGCTATGGGAATGGTTGCTGGGACTACCATGGCGATGACAGCAGGTAAGAGCCACTTCATTGGTTTTCATTGAGGTCACCTGTCAGGAATACTCCCATTTCACTGCGCTGCAGATGTCCAACTGCCACTTATGTCCCCCAAACAGATGAAAACAGATGAGATCTGTGAGGTAGAAAATGGAAGAATTTAGAATGGAGAAAATACTGACTTTTTCATTCAATTCCAAAACAGGTACTCTGCTGACTACGCCACAGCACACTCAACTAGGACCACATCCGGTTTCCGTGCCAACATACAGGGCTCAAGGAACACCTGCGTATAGCTATGTACCTCCACATTGGTAAATTCACAGGTCAATTCATGTAAGTTAACCTCCAATATTAAGTTCAAGCTATTTATTGATAGGAGTCCTAAAGTGCAACATTTGTTTCTGATATGTCCATCTAAGGCTCTGTCTGTGTCTTGGTATTTTGGATTATAATCTGGATTATTATAAAATACTGGATTCAATAATCCTATTTGGATATTAATGCAATGTTTTAGTAATCAAAGTTTGATTATCAGTTTGTCTGTTTCAAACCTAGGAAATCACTAATAAGATTTCTCCTTTGACAAATCATACTTTTAATATAATTATAGTGTATGAACATCCTGGTTTTGTTACTGCCACACTTTGTTTTGATCATGAACCAACTAGGACGTGAATTTCACTAGGAACTATTTATGTGAGATTGTGTGCCTTTATTCTTTGCTGGGATATTTTGAGCTCCAATTGTACATGAATGGCTTCATGGAGAACATAATGCATAGACACAAATCTGATTTGGTTTGGGTACTTTTAAGCATGACACCCAGCTGATCAAACAAAATTCAGTTCTTTCGGTGATGACTTAAAGCCACAAACCAGAAGTGGAAAAAAGAAGTACATACTGAAGATTAAGAATGGTTCTGAGTAAATTTTATGATTGTTTTGAGTAGATATGAATGCAGTGATAAAGTGTCCTGCATAGTGTAATGTTACCTTAAGATAAATTGATTACTTTTAGAGATGTTTCTGTTGGGCCAAATGGCATGTTTCCTTATCCACATATTACTCTGCAACTTGCCAAGATTAAGTTTCTAGTGTTTGGGGAGTTCAGATGTAAACACGTGGCCTATGATTGTCATACTGACTTATCATATGATGTGTTCCAGTGCCCTGCTCCTTTCTAAATTGAAGTCAACACTAAATGAGGCATTTTTGTTGCCCATTTGTAGATCGTTTTCTTTTGCTTTGAAAAAATAACCGGAAGCAGAATCCTTGATCAGAATTTTGGACGATCAATGTTTTTTGTTTTTAATTTTGGTTAGGGTTTTCCAATTCTGACTTTATGAGTCAAAGATGAATGGATGCAAGCATGTCCACCTTTAATATGTGGCAAAACACAAAATACTGCAGCTGTTGGAAATCTGAAACAAAAACCGAAGTCGCTGGGAACACTCAGCAGATCAGGCAGGAGGAAGGAAAGTGAATCAACATTTCGGGTCCACAATCCTTCATCAGAACTGGACGCTTCATCAGAATGAGTTCTGACAGAGGGCCGTGGACCAGAAACATTGACTCACTTTCCTTTCTCAATAGATGCTGCCTGACCTGCTGAGTGTTCCCAGTGACATCTGTTTTTGTTTAATATGTGGCATTTTCATTGTAAAGTAAAGCTGCTTTTAAGCAATGAAAACCTTTTTAATTAAGACTTTTTCCTACCTTTCAGATAAATATTTTTATGAACTAACCTCTTCCAGATTGATCGGTTGCCAGATCATTGTACCAAGGATTCTTCATTATGAATGCCATTTGGTTAAACAAGAATCTGTTTTTCAGTGGGCCAAAAGTGTTATCAATGTTTGTAGCAACAACAAGATTACATTTGTATAGCGTTAACCCAGCTTGTTTTTGATGTGGTGGTTTTTAATGCAATTTTGTTGCATTATGGAATTACGTAAATTTACCTCTGTTATCCTCAACTAAAATTTCAGATTGAGTTTCTAAAATTGAGAAAGTAAAAGTAAACCTTCAATTTGCAGCAAAATGTAGATTTAAAGGTTTACCCTGATTTTAGGAACAACCGCATTTTCTTAAATGCGATGAATCACTAATTACAAGAAACTTAGTTAAAGCATAACTTATACTTATAATATAAAGCTTTGAATGTTTTTATATCTTTGCAGATCTGGAGTCAGACATTGTATGCAACTACTCAAGTCTTACGTTGGTGCTTGTGCATTGAAGCCACATGGCACCGAATCTGTTTGCAAGAACAAAGTGCAAAGGTCACTTTATGCATCATTTTAGTGTGTTTTTTTTGTAAAAGCTGCTTTTCTCCAAACTTCTGCCTCATTTCAAGCTCTGTTCCATCATAACTATTCAAAACTGGTACAGATCAATTTATTTCTTATCGCTAGCAAGGCTATGGCCAAAACATTTAAAAAGAGGCCTATTCAGTGGTGAGAGTACATGACATCCTTTTTCTAAAAAAAAGTGCAAAGTGCATGTTTCACCTTTGTTAATCCTATGAAATTCTATTTTGCAATCTACATTGAGACCCATAAAGAAAAGCAAATCCACTATGGATTCATTGGTGTATAACCTATAAACGAGGCTAATATTCAAGTTTAAAGAAAACAGTGGCTGGCTCTCTTTGTTCAGATCTATTGGCGTTCCTGACCTTTTTGCGTTGCCCAAAATATCTTAGGCCATCAAACTACGAGATGCCTATCTAGTTCAATCTTTAAGTGTTATCAAGATTAGCACTCACCACTGAAATGGCCTTTAAACTTATTTTTTTGACAATAGAATTGTTCAGGAAAGCTTTGAGGGTTTAAAGGGATTTAGAATTAATGGAGCACTCCATTCACTGCAGCACAATGGATTCTTGGGATGGCTTACGTGATGAGCATTACTTATTTGGTTGGCCGGATTCTTTGTTCAAGTTAAGGTAGTTCAACTCTGGAGTCGAACACCTATTTTTGCCCCTTAATCCATTACAGCTATGAACTCAGCATTGTGTTCTGTGGGTCCTAAATACAATTGTTGCGCTGCATCAAGTTGGGACTCTGGTGTTGGCTATCTTTTGATATGTGCCAACATTGATACCAGAAAATCTGGATTCACTTTATAAAACAAAATAAATCTTGGGACCTATAAAATCCCACCACATTGACACAGCTGAGATCCCTAACCTCTCCTTTTCTGAATTTTATTAGAGTTGCAATATTCCGTATTAGAACAATGTGCTTGTCGGTTTTGTTAGTCACCAACTGACATTTTTGTTATTTCTGGAAGGTGGTGAAAGCAGTAAGTGGTTTGTTAAATATTGTGTAACTTTTAAGCAAAGTGATAAAATTTACAGAACTTTTGCAGGTGTTTTACTATCCTTATAGGCCCTAAAGAGTGGACCCTGATAAAGGAACACGGCACCTTTAAGGCTGTTGAAGGTCTTGGTAGGCAGGTAGTGAGTGTGTGGCACAATACCATCCACAGAGTATGGGAACAATGTGTGAATTTCATAAAAATGAAATGAGTATTGGAGTCTAGGAAATGAGTTTTTTTTTTACCAACCTGCATGTAAAGTTTAGGAAAAGAATGTATGATTGGAAAGCACTGACAAAGGTATAAGGTAAGGTGATTGATGTTTAGGGAGCATTTATTTTTTTGCAACTTAGATAGAAGTGACCACATATCAGAATTCTGTCAAAGTGCAGAAGCTAGGTTATGTTGCACAATACGTATATAAGAATAATCTATGCTAATAAACAGGTACAATATACATGAATATATATATAACACACCCATATTACATTTTTGTGGTTAGCTTAATAGACGGATTTCTGAAAAGCAAACGGAGCGAGGCGTAGATTTTAATGCAACATTGTAATACAATAATAGACTCTTTACAATACAGTAACAGATCATACAGTGAAATGGTTCAGTTGATTAAATTTCAAAAATATTGTGGGTGTGTTATATATATTTATATATATTTACACACACATACACACACGCGCCATCGTCCTGGCCAGCAAACCAGTGTTGCACGAAGCAACTTCTGCTGTATGTAACCGTGTTAACTATAGCTGGGGAGAGTGTATATCCCGCAATATCAAATGATGTTTCTAGTGCTGAGTTAAGGAGACATTCACACAAAGGTATTATTGTTTAGATTAGTGGGCAGTCAAATATCTGCTGTATTCTCAGAAATCAGATCAACTTCTTCTCGCATTATAAAGATATTTGCAGAAGATACAATTTTAAACCCTAATGGTGCTTCTACTGACTACAGTTTTAAAACCAGTTTGAGGTATACACTTGCATCAAATCCCTCGAGGTCTAATTATGGCATTTTTAAGAAATAACATTCCATTTAAAACAATGTGTGCATGCCAACCAATGGCAGTGGTGGGTTATTTACCAATTTTCCCATTTCCTAGTCCTAGTCCTAGTCAGAATATTACTTGGGCCGGTCAAAATGTTAGTGGCAGAGCAGTTAATACAACTAGTTTGCAAATGTTTCACTGAATAACTGGTGAGCTTTTCACTGATCTATTTCACATAGTCCCACATCAAATGGAGTTTAGTGTAACCGATTTTATTAGTGTTTCAAATGCACTGGGCTTCCATTGTTGTACTGTTTCCACAGTCATTACAATGATTTCCTTTACTCACTGACGGATTGAAGTGCAAATTGGTAAAGAAAATTGCACACACTTCTCCAGCAAACAAACCAACATGGGGTGGGGAGAGAAGGGCAGAGCAAGTAACCCCCTGTAGTTTGTTGGATTTGCTGCAAAAGCATTATACTTAATCTCTAGAACAAATAGAAACCGTCAATTTTTGGAGAAGAGATGGCAAAGATCAGGGGGGAAGAAAGTTTAGATAAATTTGTACAAAATTTGGGGTTCAGCTTAAGGCAACAGTTCTTAAATTGTGACAACACCAACTATAAGAATTGTCAGATAGCCATTCACATTTATTTGGTGTAGAAATTAGAGCGATTATTAGTATAGAACACTGGTCCTACATTGACTGTTCAAGGAGGAGAACAATTCTGAACAAAACCTGATAAGGATGCAAGTGATTATCTCAAGTGCTTTATTTTTTTGCAGTGAAAACATTCCTTAGTCTCTGAGAAATCATTATAGAGTACATACAAATAAACTGATCTTAACTTTGCCGCAATACCCAACATCTACTGATCAGGCCTTGGAAGAAGAAAGTAGTAATGATGCAAAATATGTTACTCAGCATCAAGTTTGGTACAAAGTACAGTGTGCAAAAGGAGTAGTGATATTGTACTAATTGTCTTCACTTTGAATCTCCCACTGTTTAAGTTTTGTGCAAACTTAACTTACCAATGAGGGGTGTTGAGTGTAGCATGAACTGGTTTGGTTCTCTGACTTAACTGGTGTTAAGGATCTTTGAAGTGATAGCCCTTCAAAGATGTTCTTGTGTCTATAATCACGACATAGCAAATCTCAAGCTGATTGTAACAGTCTGAGGTCTGACTGTCTGTTGCTGATGTCTTTGTAAATGAAGTTGTTTAATTAAACTGATCCATTATTTGGAACAAATATTTCAGCCACATCTGATTACGTCAGACCCGATTCAGATTTTGCATAAACCTGTACAAAAAAATTTAGCAAATAGTTATACAAGGGAACACTTCTAAATATAATTTGGTGGAAAATTTTAACCCGTCTCATATTAAATTTTATCCTGAGGCCAGTTACTGAACTTGCTTGTTATGTAGAAGAATCTGTCATTTAGAGGACTTCTCAAACACACACACCCCCTTTCAAGTATTTGAATGTTACGTATTGCTCATTTCCTCCTGTTATTATTTGTTTACTTCTGTTTAATTGCCCTTTCAGTGGGAAGGCAAATGTGTAAGTCAGCTCGCTCCTTTGTTGCCAGGGCTGTTTTGTTACTGATTCACCATCTTGTGTATTTGTTAGATGAAAGCCTCTCAGGCTTAATGGATCCCACCTTGGTTTTGGAATGAAATGTTCATGTGTACTGGCCAACTAAATTAGGCAGATGTCAAATTCCGTGTATCTGTAGCCTTGTGCCTGGAACCTGTTAAATTGGTCAGATCCCTGAAAACAGTTGAAATGTAATAATCTGGACTAATGTTTGACATTTGACCCCTTGAAATACCTCAATTTCATACTTGTAGACATAGAATAAAACAGATTTCAGGAACCAGTGCGACAGATTATTAGTTTGTTATCTGCATTTAAATTGGCCATCCATCCATAGAGGAATGGACTGATAACCCTCCAAATACTGAAAAGTCTACTCTGAAAAGTTTGCTAAAATCCTGCACTTGCTGCAACTATTAAAATCAGTCTTATATTTTATACTTCCCAGTATTGGTTGACGTTCATTCTCCCGTTATTACCAATATAACCTAAATAGCAAGTCATTTTATGACTAATTATTGATAATTATTCCTATACCTGATAACTCTAGCAGAGCCAACATTGAGCTGATAAAACTGAAAAGGCCTTGACAAAACTTAACAAAACATTGAATTTTATCTTCATTCTAAACCCACCCACATAGCTTCCTGATTTAGGCTTGTTCAACACATTTTACTAGGTTAATCCAACTAAACAGATTGGTCTCATTTGTTTTCTTTCATTTAACTATGTAAACTAATTCATTCAGATCAGATGTATTTTTCAGTCCAAACAAACACTAATGTTACACAAAGTGTTACCTACTGCCTTGCCTTAGGTAGAACAAAAGGCTATGTTAGCAATCTAACATTGGCCAGAGATTGCCAACTATTTGTTCCACATATAACATTCAAAATGTTCATTGCCCTTTTTTTAACCGAAGCAAGCTCATAAAATTTGCAGGCTTTCTCTTTTAGAAAAGCTTGCGATCTGTTAGTTGGCCTCTTATGTCTCTCTTTGTAAAGCTTTACAAATTATTTTTTGTGATTCCCAAACCCGTGAGCAGAGAATGTTAGTGGAAGTTCATGCCCTGATGTTTCAAACCGTATTGCTGTGAAGCAGCACTGAGGAACCATCTTCAAGTATTGCTGTTGAACTCCACAAATATTTTGCTTAAAAGCAAGGAGATGCTTTTCAATTTTAAGATTATAGACGTCTTAAAAATGTAGGAACATGGTGGGTAACTAAGTCGTTCCTATCCTTATTTTTATGGAGTGTTTCTGTGAGGGAACCTGTTCATAATATTCAGCCATACTTGGCAGTGTTAGCTCCATCCTGTCCTAATAATAATAATAATAGAACCCCTGTATTGGATTATCCAATAAATTAACTTTCTTTTTATAATTATTTTGCGAACGTTTTTACAAAGCTACCAAATTCATCAATATGCAACATACAAAATTGAAATGTATATTGGAAGTGTTGCCTGGTAAATACAGCATAATTGGCTAAGTTTGTGCTGGCAGGACTGAAGAGTGTTTACTCCCAAACCCAATGTGATATTTCTTGTTCCATATCCCTTTAAATTGAGTTACCAGCTTTTTCAAAAATACACACCTCATTTCAGAATTCTGCACATGCACACCTCACTCAGCGCATCTGTTGAACCCTGAAATCAGGTGTTTTAAAATGTCAACAGGGCCAGTAACATGATCAGCTCTTTAACATTAAGAAACCGTTAAATGTTTCTGGGCTGTCAGTATACTGTGAAGGAGTGAGTCCAGTGCGATTCATACCATCTGCATGTGAATCACGCTGTTCCTAGGAGTGGGGCTCCTGCATGATTTGTTTCATATATAATATCACAGCATACAGGCTTGTTAGTTACCTGGTGTTCCTGTTTACTATCTGTGAGCTAAAACCCACAATTTTAACTGCAGTCGCATTTCTTTAAGAATAGATGCCCAATTCTTGACGTGTGTTTTATTTGGACTGAGAATTTTTATTTTTTTTAAACTGGTTTAATCATGCGATTTAATTTGCATGGTGTTTCAAAATCACTTTAGAAACAGATACCAAATCATTAGAATTGGAAACTATTGAAAAAATGCAAATTCCACTGAAGAAGTACTCAAATGAAAAACAACCTATTCTCTCAATATTGAATACTGCCGGATACTAATGTCAAAAAATAAATTGATTTCTTAGCTCATAACCAGTGTGCATTTATACACAGCACATGAATGCAACCAGAGCAAAACAGCAGTGCATTCGTAGTTCAACATAACCAGGTTTGCCAGTTATGGTTGTACGAGACCTTTTAACAGATTTTTTTGTACATGTTTGCTAAATAAAAAAAAGTACTGTAATGCAAGACTTGAACAATGCATATTAATAGTTGTACTGGCCCAATTCAATGTCAGAAGTACTTCGGAATATCAGAGATTTAAATAGGAGAGATTAAACCGTGTGTACGAGTGTTGCTCCTGTATTTTAAAGAAAGATAACCTAGGAAACCTTTGCAGTTCGGATATGTAATTTAAGCGCTTTTTACCATAAGTGTTATTTAAGTTGTTTAATGATGTTTATTATTCTTAATAGAAAAAAAAACTTTATGGTTTAACTGAAGTTGGATGCTTCTTTGAGCTACAGGGAGCATTTCAGAACACAAGACTGTGGGCTTTTGTTTTGCTGTATTTCAATTGCAGTTTTGGACTTCCTTATTTTGAATTCTATTGGAACACTAATAAACAAGAAAAGAATTATGGAAAATGTCATTGTCTTCCAAATGTAGTTCATAGAACGTAAGTGTTTTAATAACGCAGACTAGAAGCTACGTATGGAATCTGAAAGGCCCACAGTTTACACTTGTGACTATGAAGTGTAAATCTGTTTTTTTATTTTGTTTTTTTTGAAAAAGATCAGTTAGTGATCTAAGTGACAGAATTAAGCCAAGAGTTTGTAATTGTATGATATTTACTGTAAGATGTAGAACATTCAATAACTATTAAAATGTTTACAAAATATTGTTCATTTTGGATTTTTTCTGGGGGAAGGGTCATTTTAATGAATTGGATAAAGCTGCAATAACTATAATTAGCACATTGGGGACCATTGTAACACAAGTTTTGAACATTTTCTGAAGACTACATGGCAAATTTTCATATCTTGGGACACATTTTAATTTCACGTTTAGTAGAAATGTGGAGAATGAAATAGATTGGGTGCCTCGTGGTGATACAGAAAGCAGAGAGTGTCGGCCCAAGGTAAGATCTACAATGACTTACATTTATATCGTGCCCTTCATGTGGGTTATAATATATAGGCACATTGTGTTCAGACATCAGATGTTTCTGAACTTCCTATGGAGGACAGAAACCTAGACTTGATGCAAGTAAACTGTAGAGGATAAGCTAGAAAGCGGTGATTGGGAAATTAAAAGTTATGGGATCCAAGAGTTCAAACCAGTATATGCCATCTATGATATTCCAACACCAACAACTTGAATTTATATCGCGCCCCTCACACAGGGCAGTAGTGTTCCAGAGCACCTGAATTATAACCAGTATGTGGCTAAGTGTATGAATGGATATTCAAACCAGTACATGATATGACTTGACGTTGAAACTTTAATTCAGTAGGGTAATGAAGTACCACTGATTACAAGTGGAGATGATTGTATTTATGTGCATGAAAACTTTTATCATTCTAGAAACAAACCAACCTTCCTTTACAGTCACTATTTTACCAGGCTGATTGATGACCATATAAAAATGAAAAAATAGAAATGAGCAAGCAAGAATAAAAATTAGAAATGAGGGCAATCAAGTAACCAGAATATTCCATTGACTGCAGAATGATTGACGACATACCACGTTTAGATCAGTGGGGAAAAAAAAACTAAAAGGGATTGTAAAATACTATTTATGGGATTTCAGCAACCTGGACAGTGGACAAATCTGGGACAACTGAATAGATGGTGGAAACAGAAGCAATTTTACACGGAATCACAGCTAACATCAGATGCAATGCTTGAAATAATTTATAGCATTGTATGCAATCAAGGCTAAGTCCAAAAATGTACAAACTTTTGGGGCTTTGAGAAGATACATTGAGAATTAAATGGGGAAACCACTCAAAGATAAACTACAAAAAAGATTACCCAATGGAGGTGGAGAGCAGTGAATAGTTACACTCAAAAATAACCTAATGGCTCAGAAGTTATCTTTAAAGGGAACACTAACACAGTGGTTGTCAACTGGCAGCAGCGAATACCAAACAAATCCCATAAACAGTCATTTGGCTGCTGAATCTACAACAAGTAGACATTTCAAAGCTTTTATTACAAATAAAACCCACAAATTAAACTACAAGTGACCTGGGCCCTGGTGGGACAATAACAACAAAATTACATTTATAGAGCGCCTTTCACGTCGGGAGGACGACCTGCCCATGATCAGCTGTAATCTGTTTCATTGGTTACAATGCAATTTTAATTTTGCTATATAAATGTCAGGAGGACATTACAAAGTGCTTCACACTACAGGCTGAGCACCCGAACCAGAGGTTGGGGAGGTGGAAGCTGACCAAATGTGCGGTCCTAGAGGTAAGTCTTGATGCTTTGAAAGTGGGGAATGATGGGGCAAGTCAGAGGACTCCAGGACAGAGTTCCAGAGCAGGGGCATTCTGGCTGATAGCTTGCCCGTCAGCGGTGGGGTGGTTAGGAAAGCCAACGTGAAGTTGGCTGGTGTTCCCTGAGCGAAGGGAGAGGCCAGGTCAATAGGGTTGTGAGTGGTAGGATTGGGTGAGGCTGTGGCGGAAAAGTCCACCCCTGTAATTAACAAAGATTATAATGAATGTACAGCACAAAAATAGGCCACTCAACCCAACCAGGTGTTTTATACCCCACACGAGTCTTCACCCATTCCATTCCTCACTACTATTCCCCTCTTCCCTCATGTGAAGGTCGAGCTTCCTTTCAAATGCATCTACACTATGATCCAACCTCCGTTTGACACCTGCTTACACACCTTATATAATGGGACCCCAGAACTGCACTTGACCTTGTTCCAGGTGTGATTACTATCAGTGGCCATGCTTTCAGCCACTATGCCCTGAGACTCCAGAACTCTGCCTCTATCCCTCTAGTTTTCCTCCTCCTCGCCTGTCTTCAGATCACACCTTCCTCTGCAACCATACCTATGGTCATCTTCCCTTTCTCCCTGGCTCGGTGTCAAACTCCACCACTGTTAAGCACTGAAATGCTCCCCTGGGTAATGGGTGCTATGTAAATTATAGAATCATACAGCACAGAAAGAGGCCACTTGGCCCATTGAGTCTGCACCGGTTCCTAAAAGAGCTTCCAACTCAATCCCACTGGCCCGCTTTCTCTCCATAGCCCTGCAATCCTGTCCCCCAAATACCCATCTACTTCTCTCTTAAAAGTTGTTATTGAATCGGCTTCCATCACCCTTTCAGGTAATGCATTCCAGATCCGAACAATTCGCCGGGTGAAAAATGTTTTCCTAACCCCCCTCTGTTTCTTTTAATAACTATCTTAAATGCAAGATGTTGTTGATAGTTATTGATATTACCTCAAGCTACAAATTTCTAATTAATTCAAGCTTCGACAACCTCAAAGAAACCGTTTTAAATCCCCTCCCTGCTTCTATTAAATTGTTCCCTCCATGACTGGACTGCACATTTGTCTTCTTAAATGCTAATTTAATGTTGATGAGTCATTCTACCTTGGCGTAATGAAATAAGCTGCTATGTTGATGCTGTGCTATCAGCACTGCCAGGTGCTAGTGTGGGTGTGACCCCTGCTGGTTCAGTCCAACTCCAACACACACAGGCATGTGAAGCGATAAGAGCCATTGAATTCCACCCCCAATAATTCACTGCGTATCCTTTTCATACACTGCGTGGCACAATTTAAGGGCCCAGGTCACACCGAGGAGGTTTGAGCCTTTCAGATAGAAAAAGTGTCTCGGGTGCTCGGTAAGGCAATAGATAAATAAAAACCTCAATGAGGCCCTAATGACTCAACAATCACACTTTGGATCGACTCCCTTTGATCCGCAGATTCAGCACTTAAGGTTTAGTCAGCAGGTGTTGTTTTCGCTCAGTTGACAGCACTCTTGCCTCCAGGTCAGAAGTCTATGATGAGTCCAAACCCCATGTCAGAACTTTGAGCTCACAGTCTCTAGACTGAGATTCCAGCAGAACACTGTCCTTGGCTGATGCGTCAAATTGAGGACCAAGCCACTTATTAAGGTGAACATTAACATTCCATGATTTGAGAAGTAGCTCCTGGTATCCTGGCCAACAATCCTCCAGTTAAGTTTGGGCATTCATTTCACTCCTGTGTGACATTGCTGTGGTCAAATTAGCTGCCATGTTTGCCCGCAGTAATTACACTTGACAGCAATTACATGTGGTTTCTCTTTCCTGTCCCAGCTTGGCTCACAGGCTACATTCCTCAGTGCTCTTGTTTTTTCTATATGTTTCTCCTCAATGATAATAACTGGCATTTGGTTTAGTGCCTTATAATGTCTTTACAATGTCTTAATATGCTTCCCCTTGATGACCATTCAGTTCCACATGTCTGCAGGTGACACCCATCTCTATTTCGACTTCTAGTCTTGATTCCTGGATTGTTTTAACTTTCTAAAGATCAACAGGACCCAAGTGCTGGTGTTTGGCTCCTATCCGTGCAGCTGAGACCTGTAATCACACCTTTGTCACTTTGAGGCTTGATTATTCCAACACCCAGCTTGCCAAACTCCCCAGCTTCTCGACACAAGTTGCAGACCATTCCCAACTCTATGTCCTCTCCCTCACCAACCTCTGTGAGACCATCGACCTCATTCTGCTCTCCTGGTTCCTCATTCAAGATCCTCATCTTCAAATCGCTCCACCCTATCTCTGACCTGCGATCTTAATGTCTGGCCTCTCCCTCCACTCAGCAAACACTGGCTTGCTTATGTCCTCATCTCAATCCACCTCAGAATCGATGGATGATTGATTAATGAAACCCTCCAACCTACTCCAACCTTTCCCATAATCTTCATAGCACACTGTAAGATCTATCTTTTCAACTGCGACCATATTCTATATAAACACACACAGACGCACCAGCTTGAGCTTCAAGGCAGAGGTATGAAAGGGAGCTAAATAAATGCAAAACTTCCTGCAAAATAAAAATTATTTGGTCACTCAATCCACGACTGTTGTGGGACACCGCTGTGCACAATTGGCTGCCGCGTTTCGCCCACAAAAATACAGTCAATTCACAGTGTATTCTGTGAAGTGCTTTGAGATGTCTCGAAGACGTGATAAGGCGCTATATCAACTGCAAGGATTATTATGATTATAAATGTATTTACATGCATCAGATGCACACTCCGCTGTTTCCCCATAACATGTTTTTAAATCTGATATCTTTTGGTCGGATGCTTTCACCTTCTGATTAATGGGATAGTGCTTCTCTGAGCTCTTTTTTCCATCTACTTCAGTGCAACACACTACTGTAGACATCCAGTGGCACCTTGCCCAGTTAGGCAATGGTGCATGTGTTAGCCTTGACAGTGTGTATTGGCAGCTATCTGAGCACAGCAGATAAGCCCAATCCTGACCACACCTGACAACTATATTTACGCCTCGTTCAGTTGGCTTCTCTGGATAGCTGTCAAGAATAGGAACGTTGAGTTCACCCTCACTGCAGCAAACAGCATTACCCCACGTCTTTTTTAAAAAAAAACCTTCCCTTGTTTAGCTTTTCCCCCATCTCCACAACATTACCTGCCTCCTCTAATACCTTTCTCCTTGGCCACCGAGAACCCTACACTTGCTTTAGCAACTCTCTGCATACCAGACTTCAAAGCTTTTCCCTCCACAAGCTGCAGACTATCCAGAACAGCAGATGTCCTCTCCCACACTAAGGAGTCTAGCTCAGTGGATAGAGCACTCGCCTCGCAAGCAAGAGACCTGGGTTCGATTCCCGGCAGGGCGAAACCTTGGGT